CCCCCACACCCTGCACGCCTCCCCCCGACCGCTGAAAGGAAAAAAAACTGCGTCGAAAATGCCTAACTCTGCGGCGTCCGCTCATTTATTATGGAAGCACGAGCAAAGGAAAAAAACCTGGACGTCTTTAGCTGCACCTCCGGCCGGCGCAGGGCTGCGCATTTCAACTAATAAATTTAATTTAATTTTCGTAGTTACGTAGTGAGTATCCAGTAATCATAGTAATACTTCACGTATTTTATACTGCAGCAGAGCTTGCTGAGGAGTACTGATACTCAGAGATGCAGACAGCTGTTTGTCTTAAAATGTAATTAACAGAACAGATAATATTTATTCCATAGAATGAATAATATCTGTTCTGTTAGTTCTGGTATGCACTGCCATTGATTCGAAAATTTGTGTCGATGAGAAACAAATATGTGTTGTTGTAAAGCAGACAGCCCTGGCCCGCTTACGAGTTTAAGTCAGCCGAATTACTTATATTACAGAGTATTGGAAGTCGACCGGGAGAGGTAACAACAAACGGGAGAGACCGCCGGCCTCCAGCCTTACCTCTCGCCTACCTCTTTACATCTCGCCTTCACCGAACCGATCAAACAGTTTTTATTTCTTTTCAATGATTATGGAAGTAGGAATGGCGTAGCAGGCACGGGGTAATATAGGTACTTTATTAATTTGCAACATTGGTGCACGTCGGCAGAGGACGATCGCGCGGTCGACAACAGCGCTGTAGATTTCACGCTCCACCGAAGGACAAAGAGACGGGCATTACTTACGCCCTACCGCGCCGCCCGCCCGCCTCCGAACAATGCCCGGCGAGTGTGCGACGCCGACGCTACATTACAAGATGCTCCCGCTCCCGCAGTCCATTAGGGAAATCCTTGCACTACTGCTGTTTAATGTCATTTTATCCATTTACCTTAACTTTTGAGTACGCAGAAATATCAGGATTACTATGACAGATGGACGGGATGGGGCAACAACTACCTCAGCAAACACCGCTCCTCGGATGTACACACACACGCGCGCGGTGCACCACCCATTACATTAACTGCGTTAAGCACTTTCACATACTTACTACTTAGTACTTTTTTTACAAATTTAATCTCAAATAATAGAAGAAAAACATTACCCCGACGCCTTTTTAGTTCAATTAAATATTTTTAAATTCCTTGCAAAAAATATCCTCTGCCGAATCGTATAATTTAATTAATCCCATCCGAAATTACTCGCCCTAATTACAGCTGAAAAAAGCTTCAGAAGCTCATCTACTACGAATCGGAGGGCGAGAGAATTTGGATCTTGGTGTGAGGTAACAAAGCCGAGTGTCGAGTGCACGCCCTCCGGGGTAAACGAGCGAAGACGCCACGCTATCCTCTGACAACCCCGTGACGCGCGCGCTATCTTCACTGCCACGTTACGTCGCCATCGCGCACTGCTCATTGTCAATATTTGCTGGTCAGATCACAACAGCAATTAGCAATTGAGCGCGCACGCGCGTCCTACCGCATGCAGTGTTCAGACAACATAATGTTATCTATCGTACGAGTACATTGTTACTGTATTGCGATATAACCAGAGTGTAGAAGAAAACAGTATATATGCCAATATCGACTTTATATTCTCAGCGTAAGAGTTCAAGATGGCAATGTTCAGTAATGAATTGTTTTAAGCTTCAACTTGCATCTGTAAGTTGCGAGTACATTTCGAAGTATGTGTTTCGGACTTCGCGCCTCGCCCCCGGCTTCGCCCTTTCCCCACCCGTTAGCGTTATTATTCACAAAACATCTTTGTCTCACCACGAGCACTCAAGTTTTACTAGTTAGACGCCGAAATATCGTTTTACTATGGACTTTTTCGCGTATCGGCGGCATTATATTCTAGTGAAATAAAAGCATGTAAGTACAACAAGTAAGTCCTTTGATATCGAATTCGGCCTTAATAAGTTCCTTTTGATACATTATCTCCGATATCATGAATTGCACTTTCATTGTGTCTGTCAAACAAAATATAAAGAAAGAAAACATTTTTATATGACGGTTGTGTTCATCTCAAGCAGAGAGTAGGGTAGAGCGGTTGATGGCGGTTTGTAAATATTGTTCAGGGATCTGCGAGAGAATAATTAGCCGATCCTTGACGCGGGGCGACGCGGCAGGGGGCGAGCTGCGAGACATCCCACCGATAACAATGTATAGTCGCATGCATACACACACACACAATGTATACACGCACATTAGTGCAGTAAAATTACACAATCTTATTCGCACATTTGATAGACTAAGTAGATTTGTAAGCGACCAAAACGCACACATGTTATTGTTTGATAGAATTGACATTTCCATAAAATTATCTTCGGTTTCTTTACTTTCTTTCAAAAATCTATCTTAAAATATAATTCGAGCTTCGTAGAAATTTTTAACCAATGTATTATAACGAATTTGAAAGTGATAAAAGTTGAAGGAAAAGGAAGGTGCAAATGCTAAGAAATCAGTTGTTTTGTGTTGCTAATCGTAGATATCAGATATAGACCGGACCTGACCGCTTGTTAAGTAGTTTTATTACTGTATCTATTAATTTGTGTGTCTGTACATGTGATATGAAAGTCTTTACGCTTATAACAAAAAGCAATGTTGTCTCTTTGTGTGTTCTTCAGTCTATCGGCAGTTCCTTAATTAGAATGGTAAAAAGAATATTTATACAATGTGACAGCATGGTAAGTTGTGGCTCACCTCGAGCTCCTCCTCGGAAGAGTGATGGTCGTAGAGCTGGTCTGGGTCCGGCGCGCCGCACGCCCGCACTGCTTCCGCGACGCCGCAGTCGCCGCCGCCTGCAACCGCAACAAGCACAATTTCATCAGTCAATCATTAGCTGCTGCCGCCGCCGCTGCTGTAGCAGTCACGTGCCACATTCTTTGCACCCTGTTTTTGTCCACTCTATAAAAGAAGCTAAGGGTCAACTCGCTTTGCTTGCGGCGGAAGTGGTTTTAGGATAGGTCGCCTGAAAACGCATACCGCATGACTAAAATTAGCGGTGCAGCGGATGGGCGAGGCAGGGCGGGCGGGGCGGAGCGGGGAGGGGAGGGGAAGGAATGGTCTTGAACTTGCAGCAGGCCGCGCGGCGCCGAAGCCGCAGCCGCACAAACTAACATCGGCACTAAATGTGTTAGCCGACCAAGTGATTCACCCGCTCGCTGCCGACATGTTTTTTTTCCCCAATAACCTCATTTACAAAGTACTGGTTATGTAGATTTATACACTTACACACTACTAAACAATTCTATTGGTAAAATTAGGCTACAATTGTGAAAGACTTCACACGTAACAATAAAGACAAATATATATTTATGTTGAGCGCGTCGCAACGATAAGAGCGGAAATGTGTTCCGCAGTAAATTATAGAAATTGCCACTAAAACATAAACACAACAGTAGCCGTGTCGAGTTCTTGCAGTGTACAGTCAGCGTCATATAGATCGTAACAGACAAGATATGCAAATATATAGGTACATCAAAAGTAATCAATTATATCGGTACAACAAAAGTCCTCAAAATAATAGATACATTCACCCTGCTCAAATACATCGGTACATACACAGCGTCAAATATATGAGTACATGCAAGATGCTCATAAATATCGTAGCAGCCACAGCGTCATAAGTAACGAAGCAGTCAAGGTGCGCAAAAATATCGGTACATTTGACAAAATTGAACTCTATCTCTATATACTTGTGATACAATTTGGAATAAACTACTTCTGTTACATTCATTTGACACTTTGCATCAAACCATTTTTCAAAATTTACTAAAAGTGTTCGACGCGGATGACAGATATTAGGTAGATAAAACCAACATCAAATTTAAGTTTGTCATCATATATGCTAGTTTGGTCTCGTGGCCTTACTGTTCGCCGCCGTTGGTACTTAAGGTCGGCGGTTCAAATCCCAAGCCACTATTTTTTTTTATATTTATACTTTTTAATTTTAATATCGAAGCACATGTAATTAAACTCTATCGCCGTAGTTATTAGGTACTTTTTGATATTGCCTTGGACTAATGAGTTTGACCGTTAAAGTACTTTTCTATTTCAAACAAAAATGAAGGAGATAAAGCGATGCTATTGACATGTAATTTGTTTATTACTCATGTTTGTTAAACTTGTACCGGTAAAAATAACACTTTTACTTTTACCTTTTACTGATACTGATTATATTTAAGAAACAAAGAAAAAAAACTGAATGTCAATATCCAAACTACATCAAACTTTTGGTCGATTGCAATAAACATTCCAGTGTGCGTGGGCGCGCACACATATGTAGATAACACTTGTACGTATAGTTTCCGCGCATACCATTCTTAAAACCCGCAAAGACAATCCACGCTCCGCCCACTCACTTCACCCGCGATGGTCTGACCTAATTGTTGTTAACTTTATTTAAATTTCTTTCTACCCGACAGCGAAAATTATAAAAAAAAATTGTCGAGCAAAATTTTACATTACCAAATTTTTACTGGTTATGAAAAAATAACCCCGTGATTGATAAAATGAAAAAAAAGTAGCCTGAGATTCGAACCGGTAAACTTACATATTACGGCAAACATACTAGAATACTGCGCCAAACTAGTATATATTGTGACAAGGCAAAATTTGATATTAGTTAATACGTATCTGTCATATTCGGCGTGACAAACTTTTATAATATATTTAAGCGTTATGACAGGAGAAGAAAAATATTGGGTTGCCCAGTAAGTTCGTGCCGCTTTATAAGGAAAATTGAAACCCTGTTCTCTTAAATTTTTGGAAATGTTTTTAAATTATATTGGTACGACTCTATACCTAAAACGTCTTTTATTTTTGGCTAAAATTTTAAAAATTAGTTTTTATCTCAACCAATGAAATGAAATTATTCACAATATAGAAATTTTTGTGACGTTTGATAATGGTGGAAATCCGAAAATGAATCCACTTCAGCTACAGTCTATTGTAAGCTTTATATCGAAAATCAGAACGAACTTTCCGGACAACCTATAATGTTAATACAAAGTGTCAAATGAATGTAACAGAAGTAGTTTATTCCAAATTGTATCACAAGTATATAGAGATAGAGTTCAATTTTGTCAAATGTACCGATATTTTTGCGCACCTTGACTGCTTCGTTACATATGACGCTGTGTCTGCTACGATATTTATGAGCATCTTGCATGTACTCATATATTTGACGCTGTGTATGTACCGATGTATTTGAGCAGGGTGAATGTATCTATTATTTTGAGGACTTTTGTTGTACCGATATAATTGATTACTTTTGATGTACCTATATATTTGCATATCTTGTCTGTGACGATCTATATGACGCTGACTACAATGGTGAATGCTAATCCATGCAGGTACTAATACATTCATAACAAACATTGAAGCAGCTGAATGCAGCACTGGCTGCCAACGAATGAACAACTCCTGAAAGTCCGCACAGGACTCTGACCTCAAGTCCTGCTATTGCCAATATTTCCACACGCACGTTTTAACTGGATTTTTCATTAGACGCTCATATATAATATATACATTAGGATTGAGGCGCACTTGTTATCTTGTGCTCTGTCAATAAGTACTATATTCAATTGATAAAGCTAGATTCCCAAGGTGAAACGAAAGGGGACAACATTCTGGGAACGCGTGTTTAAAATTCAGCACATTGAAGAAAACTGGAATAATCCAAGGAGCTGATAAAAGCAAAATTACGATTTCTAATGGGAAAACAAAATTAAAATTAGTAATAAAAAAACTGTATAAGCAGAATTTATAGGTTCGTAAAGGAGAAGCGAGGAGAGCGTCCGTGTGTCGATGTTGTTATGTTTGGACAGACAACAACATATATGTAGTCGTAACTATGTAACGTCACGTGGGCGACACCAGCCGCCACAGCGTCGCGTCGAGAGTCATCGAGAGGCGAGTGTTGGCCGCACGCACCGCGATGCATACGTTGCACATATTTACGTGTGTGACTTGTGTGCACAGTGCAGCACAGAGCCGCGGGGCGGGCGGGGAGGGACGGGGCGCGGGCACGAATTGGGTCGCCGGCGGTCGTTGCCCCGCGAAGGTTCAACAGATATTTTTCTACGGCGCGCGGTTTTCAGCGCCTCCGCCGCTATCCCGCGCCGATAGCTTCGTCTATATAAACTCTAGCTAACATGTATATACATATTTAAATAACTCGAGTACTATTTCACTTCGAAAGTCGGAGCGACACACCGAAATCGATGTTCAAATCGTACATATAAACTTACTTCTTTCTATTTCGTAAACGTGATTTCTATCAACTGCCTACGTATGCAAAGGCTTCGCTGTTTTACCTAACATCGGTATAGGAAGATTTACGCCATTAATTTTGATACTTAGTTCTGAGTTTTCTCGCAGTGCCTTTTTTTCAAAAAAAATTTCTCAGTCGAAAAATATCTCAAACTCCAACTGGCATGTTTTTATTTGTTCACCAAATAAATGGAGTATACGTATATTAGGCCATCTTAAATCAATACATAGTAGGTACGTTAATATTTAATGTAATAATTCTTTGAGTTTGCTACTTATTGTGATACGAAAATTCAAGGTTATTACTTTGTACTTAGGTAGTTTGAGATCCATTACATGTAGATAATGGTGTAGGCCGTGCGATCGCTGGCTCAATTCTACCACAAACTTATAATTTGACGGTCATTTCTTTGCGTATCGCCACCAGCCAGCATTACTTTCTTAGAGCGCGCACGGCGGCGGTAGCGGCGGCCGGGCAACTCCGCGTGCCTCGCAGATCCTATCGCAACTTTTCCGGATTACGGCAGGTTTAAACTCATACTGTATCCCAATTGGATTAGGTGCAAAATCGAGTAAACTCAGGTGGCTAAAGCCTAAACGATAAAGTAGCGAGGCTTATATCAAGATTCAATGCGCCGGGCGCAATGAGGCGAGGCGAGTCACGAAATGTGAAGTGACAGTACATTAATGTCGACAAGCGGATGGTCCGGCTCACAACATGTCTGCCGAGTTATTTATTCCAATTTATCTGACTACGAGATAATTTTTGCATCTTAACATATTACAGTGTTTCGAGTCACGATTGGTAGAAGCGCAACAAACACAAAATACACTTTGTACAAATTAAAAGTAGAACTTTCTTCCGCTGCGTACCTTACATAACAGGATCATTTCAATGACATTAGAAGTAAAGACGTTATACCTCTCATCGATGACACATCATACCTACCTACAGTTGTTAGTTATTTAGAATACGATTGATACTTCAATCGTATGTCGCAGTTGTGGAGCAGCAGATGTCAGTAGTGCGCGACCATGGGACGGTTCAGGGTCACAACCGATACGGCTGCGTTACGCTTGTTCCCTATATTTACATAGACACACACCACAAGCTACAATCGCTGTCTCGCCCACGCGGACTTGTTGGTACTGTCGCCCACGTAGCCGGCGAGCGTTTCATCTCATTGCAGCCACATCACACTTTAGCATCTCATGGACATAAACATAAATATTATAACATAAATATTTTTACCATATAAAAGATTTTTGTAAATTAACTTTTTCACAAAAAAATAGTAAGAACTCTCTAGCCGGCAGTTCTATTTCAAGTTTACTATAAACCCTGTACGGAATGTCCCTTATGTTATGCATTATTTACTTAACAACATTCAGCTCAGTAAATAATTTGTATACATGAAGGTACTAAATAGTTAAGTACACGAACATAATGAACGTACTAGTGATAGCTCTCACGAACCGCACGTATTTCATGATACTAGAATTCTCTTTAAAGGTTATGATAAATATTAAGCTGCCGAAACTGGAAAACACCGTCGCTTCCCATTGAGGTAAACATCGCTGACGCGTCGAGGAAACAGGAAATGGAACCTGTTCCTCGCCACAACTCGTAGCACCTCCTATTCCCATATCAGTTTATTAACCAGTTTGTTGGTACAGTACAGAAAACACGGGGGAAGGAAAAGAAAGAAATAGCTCTCGTAGACGATCACTCGACGTGGCCGACGTTCTCGACGACGCAATTCAACGCCGCGCCGCCATTTCCGTGCATGATGGCCGACACCAAATGACTTTTCACAAGCGTGGCCGGCGCTTATTTTATGTCATATACACTTATGATAATCATACGATACACCCGAGCGATCATATCCATCTGTTATGCTGTACATAGTGTTATATTATTTGTTATTAAATGTATGCATTAATAAACATTCATATCCATTTTATGACGTATTCCCCCAAAATCAATCGAATAGTAATTGTTGATGCGGACAACGTGGCCGAGTGCGATGGCGATGGCGATGGCGAGGTGCGGCGAGGTGCGGCGAGGTGCGGCGCGGGCCGGGCGCGGCGGGCAGCATTTACCTCAACCACGCGCAAGGCCAAGGTCGCCTCCTCCCCTCGCTCCCCTCCCTCCCCCCATACACAATGCAAAGTGTGCGCTTTTTGCGCCATGATGTAATCAGAAATTCGGCGCGCGCGCATCGGCAACGCCGCAATCTGCTCGCCGACCGCACACCGCACACCGCCGCCGCGCCGCACCGCAAGTCTTGTCACGCTCATAAACAAAGTGTTTCTGCGTTATTTCACTTTGTTTGTCAACATCGGTCGTCGTGACAACGTTTTGCCAATAAAATTAATTTTGTTGGAAGCGAAGCGAAGACAACGGGGACCAGTGTGAAACACTAAAGCCTCGTTACCCCGAGTAAAGGCTCCGAGCCCTAAAAGTGGGAACGTTTATGAGCTGATGCCGACGAGGCATCGCAGTTGTCCATCATAACGCTTTTGCAGTTGCGAATAGGTATAGTTGTAGCGGAAAGTTGTTGTTAACAAACACTGTAATCGTTTTGAATGCAAATCAAATCTATTTGTGTCGACCGGCACCGGCACACAATCTCTGAGCGACGCAACGAACCTTGTTGTGCTCAACATGGCGCGCGACGCTGGACATGTCAAACCACATTGAAACAATATTAACACATAACATATTTCAATGTTGTAATATTTTCAAAATGTAAATAAAAACACAAAACAATAATGTAAATAAATGACCAAGTGAGTTTATTAAAAAATCTACGTTGACATGGATTATATTATAAATTCATGCGATATAATTGGAACCTTCATTCGGAGTCAAAGCCGAGATGATAACATCACACACACAATGTTTAGAAACGGACATTAAAATTGCTCAGATATAATATGACGGAATTATGGGACATTTAAGATTTCCTTTGAAAGAAAATGAATTACTTAGTCGGATGAAAGTAATTCCAAAGCATAGTAACATTTCATTATTGAGAAAATCAAATGGACATTTTAGGATATGCAAATGTGGCATAATCCATGTCCTTACCCTTAACATGATATTATCATAATTGATTTTACGTCGCCCCGCGTTTGGACGCAACCATCAGCTGAGCGTCGCGTCGCGTCGCGTTATGTCGCGGCCCAGTGAGTGACGTCGTCTGCTGCGAGCTGCGACACTTTGAGCGAAGCCACACCGGCGCGGCGGCGGCGGCGGCGGCATGGCGGGCGCGCTGTCTCATTGTGTTTATGCGCATCGATAAATGCTAATGATGTGGAAGAAGCGAGACAAAGTCAAAAGGAATATTAATTTAGAAGTATGGCTCTATTTAAGAACGAAAATAAAATTATCTGAGCTCTGAGTAAAAAGCTATCGGTCAGCGGTGAGGCGACACCGGCACCGGTGCGACGTTCACTTTACTATTTACACGTACTCCTGAGACACAGTAAATGGAGTACGCCGTCGCACGGCACGTACTCGCACCTAGTGCCTGCCAAAAAGTTCCCGTCCCTTTCTCCGCCAGCCTCGTAACGCTACATTCCATTAAGTATTCTCCAAGACCCCCAGCCCCATGGCACTGGCACATTCCACCGAGTAGCAAACACATAGCAATGTTGGGAGAGACGGGCCGCGACCGCAGTATTACTAGTCCCACACACCCTGAAGAAGAGCCTCCGATGGGTTTAAAAGTAGCACGTGCCGTTAGTGTACGTTAGTGTAGCCTTTTTTACTTAATTTTAAATAATTCTCCATTATGGTTCATATAAAGTCATTTCTCTACCTCAAGAGACAATATAAAGACACATATATATTATATAAGGCTGTAATGTGTAAATAAAATATATGAGGGCAGATGAGAGCAGAGAGAGGCACTCACTGAGGTCGGTGACATCACTCCACTTCATCACCACGTCGGAGCACGAGTCGCCTGCAACAAAACATAGCATTTGTTAGCAATAATTAAATACATATTTAAAGTATAATACTTTAGGCGCCGCACGCGGAGAACTGCATATGATGAGAGGCTTTAGGGAAGGTGTAACATGGACTAACATTGGCTCATGAATAAATATAATGATGCCGCTATTTACATACCAAAGATAGTAAATAAACTAGATGATTGTCTTCGCCCCCTACCGTGTAATTAATAAGTTCGCGTGACGTGAAACAGGCAACAGCTATAAACCGCCATTAATCCGACTTTAATTATTTCTTGCATTATGTCTTAGGTAGTAAAAAGTCGCGCAAATTATCGCATTATATATTTATTTGAATCGACACGCCGGGCGGCGGCAGCAGCGGCGACGGCGATGGCGGGTAAAGCTGTGAGTGGGAACAAGGGGACACAATGGCGGTCGCTATAATTGCAATCAGCCGCTAAACTCCGCGCCTCAGAGGCAAAAAGTGCTCCGTAGCACCGCACGCCTCCAGCGGCAGTGGCGCTCATTTATTTCATATTTTTGTGTAGTACTTTGTGATGCTATCAATTAACTTAGCGCAATACGCATTGGTTCCATTGCATTATAATAGCATACTTGTTTGCATATAGCTCAAGGTGCCTGACATGTTCAAATTTCGCATTTTCAATTGTCGTCGTGAGTGTCGACTAACCTTATAATTAGTACTTGGGAGTGCTTCAAATACTTTGTAAAACTTATCGATGGCTTCGGAGATTTGCTCGTTCATGTTAAAATGTAACGCAGAGCTACCTCGGTTAGTAGTTGCAACGGACTTAACGAACACTTTGGATTATTTTACTGAAAATATGTTGTGTAGAGTATTGACTTTAGACGTTCAAATCAAAGTAAAGCGACTGATTTTAAGATTGCACCGACACAGCGGGCTGCAGGCTGCAAGCTGCGGGCAACATGTAAAAGTGCAAGTTGGCGGGAGCGCGACGCCGGCGAGGCCGTGACCGGGTCGCCGGGCTCCCCCCGAACCCTCCCGCAGCACCCGCCGCCGGGTCGACGACCTGCGCCACGTACGCGCTTTTGCTCGCTCCCGACCCGCGCTCAATCTCCGCGCCCACTTTTATTTCTATGATCTTTGACACTTCACTTAATAAATATCAAGTAATTGAGCATTATAATTTGGTTAACAGTCCTCAGAAGTAAGTAACGAATCTTCATAACCGATTAATCGAGACGTGCAGAAGTTAAGTCGCAGTTGTACGGTTCCCATCCGTCTTATGTTATCGTTAATATGAAATGGGTAATTTTTAGCGATTGTTATAATTGTAAGAAACTATATCTAAATGTAAGATGGACTTACAGAAATCGAATGATATAATATGTAAGAGATGTGGGTCACAGCACAGGAGGCGAGGTGAGGAAAGGTGAGGAGAGGCGAGGCGGGCTTGCATCACGAAGGCGTCGTGTTGGCAACAGGGCTGGCCGTTTCCTGCGCCGCCGACTGTTATGTGTTTGTATAACATATGACTAACTATCCACTAAGGTCTGTGATAACAATGCATCTGCTAAATATATAAATATTTATTTTTATTTGAACTAGCGCCCGGCGTGTGTCGCGTGTGGGCGTTGAGCGTGAGCAGCACAGCACATCCTATTTTTTTAGGGTACAATATTGTTATACTTCAGACAAATGAAAAAAATCTTAAATTCAATATTATTCTATCTATTGGTAAAACTATATATATATCTATTGGTAAAATACTATGAAAGAAAAGATTGTACGGAACGGAATAGTTTTTATAAAATATATGCCACAATAATAAGGGCTGTAGTGACGGCGGAAGAAAAGCAATGTAACATATTAGTGAAGACGTGTGCCCACGCCGGCTCCGGTGCGGACTTATCACAATACAAAATAAACTTATCAAGGTGCAAAGCAAACCACCAAGAAAACACATACACAGCAGTTTGCTCTTATCACGCCAGTTATTATTCAGCAAGTTAAAGAGAAAATGTAAAGTCTAAGGACATGTAATAGAATGGGATCATAAAGAATTTTGCTGCAAAAATTAGTATGAGGTAGTCAATTAACCATAAAAGGCAGAACAGAAGTGACACTCAGGGCAGGAGCGCGCGCAGGGAGGGGGGCGGGGAGAGCGGCGACGGCTCGGAGCGCGGCGCACAAAAAACCAGTTCGGAGAATCCTCCGGGTTCACATAATCACAGTTACTACAGAATGGCGCGGAAAGTTTTTATGCGGGAGAGGTTTGGCGGGGAATGGCTAGGAGCGGCGGGGGAGGCGGCTGGAGCGCGGGAGTGCTTTTTGCGATCGCCGGCGTCGCACCATATAGGGACACAGGACGGCAGGGGCTTCATTCACAGAATGGCCACTGGAATCAAAAAAATTCAATTCACAAGCTCCCGATCGCCTCGTCAGTATTCGGATGTTTTGTCGCAAACTTTACGTAACGATGACATTGACCTAACGAGCGATTGTAAGATGTACGGAATGGTGGCTACGAACGTCAGTGCCACGGTATCGGTATGCGAGTGCGCGGCTTCCTAGAAACCGTTGCCAATTAACGTGCCCAGCTTTGGTGCGCGATGATTGATGCCAAAGAAGAGTGGTGCGGCTCGCGAGTTCCGTCGCAGTCGCCTCCAACGCTATACTTCCTCGAGTATCGAAATGGTCACCAGTTACAGCTAAACATCAGTTAGATAAGTGTAACACTTTACTCGTATCGTACTGGCAAATCATTGTCCAGTTCCATCAAACGCATTATCACATAGACATACAGCAGGGAGGCATATCGCATCTAGCCCCACCTGGACAAACAGCAGTGTCGCAGCTGGCCTCGGCCGACACATCTCTACCTTGTGCTTTACAATATTTGCATAGACTATAATTTTTTTATTTTATTTTATATTGTAGATATATCATTTTTTATTTATGTCAAGATAAAAAAAATCCTTTCAAATGTTATGTTTTTAACTACCACAACTAGTTTGTTGAAACCACGATACAATTCAAGTTATTTGTTTTTTTCTTCATTTAATTTACAGCAAGAGGTGAGTCAATTTTTAGCAATCTGTACTATAGTAAGTGTTGGCTGAATAGTGTGGGTAATCTATTCAGAAATCACTGACCAACTCGTTGTTGGATTCTGAAACATTTCATATACCTATTTTGTCAAAGAAGAAAAATGTCAGGAATGACAATATGTTTAATACAGAGATTTGGGTGTCAGAAAGCAACGCTCATCAACCAACAATTGGCCCAAAGTTTGTTAAAATACATGATTTTGAACTCTAGAGGTAGCTCTCAAACTAAGCTTTAATGAGGAGTTCATTTAAATAAGTAAAGAGAAAGGAAGTGAATTTAACGGAAATGGCATTATATTTTGTGCTTAAATAAATATATGTATTAAAGAAGTACTTCTATCTTACATTCAGTGTGAAGTATTTACACAAGCGGAGATTAAGTATCAGGAGGGGCCTATCACTAAAATTACCAAGAAAGTGGATATGAGTTTTGTCGTATTGAAACGTCAACATTTAGTTTGTGCTTGCAAGTTTCTTAGTTACTTTTACGCCAGATAGAGGCGCTGCACTAACCTCATTCAGATCTCAGATTCAGATCTCAGACGGCACTGTTTTTTTTGTTATTAAAATTACTACTTTGTGTGTAGGCTAAAACTGAAGGTCTACACTCATGAGTGTCGCGTTATCTTACATATTATTGTTGTTATCACCGGCCAGTTGTTTTGGTGTTATCGTAGCGGCTGTGGAAAAGTTGGCGAGTAATCCCCGCGGCAGATAGCGGCCCCCGGCTAGACCGCGCGGCGGCCGTGCCAACTGCGAAGTACGGTCGGCTCTCTCTGCGCCTATGCGCTTCACGCTACGCTGCCCTAGAGCTCGCCCCGCACCCGGCAGCTCCCAGCAGACGGCGCGCCGTACTGCCCAAGGCCGCGCAAACGAGTGCATGTATTGCTTTACAAATGCGGTGGACGCTCTGTAAGATTCGTCGTTTTAGCGCGATATCCATTTTTTATATTTCTCTTCAAAATCTTGATCCCTTGTTACAGACCGATAAAGTAACTGGTTAAAAGATAATTATTATTTATTTACAGTATTATTTATAACCCACAATATCGTGTGAACAGTGTAGAGTAACACATTCGAGTGAGTGTCCTGCCCTTGTCTCAACGGAGGATCGGCACAGCGTATACGCTTCCATACATTTATATCAGCCGTCATATCTGAATTCACTCCCTTCTTACGCATATTCTCTTCACAAACCATCCATCCGGCAACGTATCTGCGGTTCCTCTGGTATTGCAGATGTCCATGGGCTTTGATGAACACCTCGGTGTTCCCGCAGCTCGTTTGCCTCCTAGTCTACGCATGTTGCTATCCACATTCAATCTCATTACTGTTTCGTTTATGTGAACATCATATAACTCATTACAGTCAAGTGTGAACCAAATAAGTAATAAGAATAGGTTATCTAAATGCGAGTAGCGAGGGGGCGAAGTCAGCTGAGATAAACCCCAATAATTGCTGTGTTTATAGTTCCCGCTGCTCGGCACATTTTACATTGAAAGCTGCAAGACATTTATGATGTGTGAAATTATGTCTTATTCCTTTTATTTCGGACACTTGAGGGTAACATTTTTACAAACATTGAATGTCATAATCATTTATATCAAATAAGTTTCAAGCCCTTGATTGTAAAAATGACGATATTTACATACAAATTTCCATCTCTTACAACTCCTTTTTCGCGTTTATAGTAGTAGTAGTATAGCCTATGTCTTTATTCAGGCTCTAGATTATGTGTACCAATAATTTTAATCTGTTAAGTAGTTTTTGCGTGAAAGGACAGACAGAGCTAATTTCGAATTTATAAATATTTGTAAGGTAATTCATCCAGAATGCTATATTTCATGGTTTTAAATATTTATTTTCTGGAAGGTTCAATATTTTGCTAGAGCACAGCTTTGTACAAATAATTATTCTGCCTACACCATCTATATTTGTCTATATTTTTTTTTGCTGTAATATTTTTCTGTATTCGATACCTACTTCTTTCCGTCATTTTTATGTTTTAGCAGTCGTAGGATCTACTGTTAGAGTTACTGTTGCCACTTCCAGTTAAACACTTTAATAAATAACAAAAATTGAGTTATTATAATTTGAATGATAGTTACATTATTCAATTTAAATGTTCTTTAGACCAAATAACAAGTTATTTTTGCGCTGTTGTCTTTACTATCATGATTTTGGCATACATTCATATTTATATTGTAATCATCGGATCTTCGCATCATAGCATTCTAGTTTTTGTAGCCTTTGCCATAAGCTTTCATTGGGGATTAATATAAGTAGTTTTTAATAACAGGTAAGGTGGTTTATTTATACAGTTTAAAATATATTCTACCCAATATAAGAGTCTCGAAGCAGCTGAATAAACAAAGCTGTTCCGAATCAATGGGCCCGTTTACGCGACACACGCACCGACTGCAGCCTCCACATCTTTATTACTGTTCGCCACAATAAATATATTCTAAATGCGTAAACATAATCTTGCACAATTTTTTTTCATAAACAGACATAACGGACATGCTGTGACTAAAAGTTTTATAAGAATTTTATATATTGTTCAAAGTAAAATTGTTTTTGGTCACAGTATGCCGGTTCTGTTTGGAAGCTCCAAATAAATTAACAATTTACTCGTAACAGTTGCTGTCGTAATATACTCGTGGAATAAATTATTTGCAAACTCATTGTGGTCGAAACACACCGGAGGACACGTTCACACGATGTAACGCTATATGCAAGCTACTGTTCTAGGACTAGGGACATCAGCATCAAGAAATGCTTATGCAGTTTGGTGCAGATGCGTATTAATGATTATTTCAATATCAAGAGCAAAGAAACATTTATTACAATTTGTTGCCTACAATTTCCAAATTTAACACAAACTCACGATCAAACTTAAGTCGGTCGTTGGCCATGCCCGCTCAATCGACAAAACTTAAGGCACAACATATTATCTCCTGTTCCAATCTCCTCGGGTTGCTGTAATCGTCGATATGAATATTAATAATGCGCAGTTTACATTAGTCCAGCGATCGAAATCAGTGCTGGATTACAACTGGTATCTATGTGTGTTCCAGTATAATTTCACATAACTCCAATTCTAATCCAGTCTTAATACGAATCGCTTGCCTGGAATAATGTAAGCGAAGCATAAAATATTTCCAGTAATTGGATTTAAACATGCCGTCTGTCGTCAGGATCTCTTTCGAAGGTGTGTATTTCCGTTTCATTGTGACCATAGCTCAAACGGTGGGACGGATTCGGAAATGTTAAATCAGTCAACCGGGAGATATCTTTGTTTTAAATTTCAAAAGTAATGTACGTTTATTAAAAATCTACTCTCAATTTCTTCGCAACAAGTTAGATCACAACTGCTCCTCTGTCTGCATAAAATAGCAGAAATAGTGGGACTAATCTCCGCCATTTTTTTAACCTAACCAAGATTGATACGAAGACAATGATGGTAATTCAATATTTATGTATATATAAAAGTTTAGTCAGCATTGTATGCAATATGAATAACAATAAAAATTTATTTAATGTAAGCGTAATACAAAGATCCGATGTGCCAGAGTCCGACATTATTGACATCTGAAGTAGACAGTACACCATTAAGATGAACGTAGAAACGACGACAGCGCAGCATATTACCAGGTAAGCGGTAAGAGAACGGCGGCGAAATACGTACACGACGAGGGTGCTGGGGATGGATATAGCAGCACAGGTTGCGGGGCATTTAGAATTTTTTGGGTGTTTCGTTTCGGCTCTCCGACACCGCGCCCGGCCACCAGCCGCTACTCCCGACGCGGTACGGTCAAGGTCGCAAGTCAAGGTCACTCAGCAGGAACAAAGAAACGGCCACATAATAAACACAAACTTAATACATAACCGAGGCACAGCCGTAATATTGGATAAAGACCGGTTTCGATGAAAATAAACAACTATCGCACGTCTACAATAGGCAAGCCGTCGCCAGGTCGCCGCGCCGCGCCGGCTATGCTAATAAGATTCTAATAAGTATCCCGATCGTCGCAATCGTGCGTTCGTTTTCTTTGTTTTACTGAAGTACCGGTTTCTTGTATTGTAGCAAGGGAGTGCCGGGCGCCGGGTGCCGGCGAACGCAGCGCGGAATAAGCAGTAGCAGAACTCACCGGTGTCGGCGCACTCGGCGCGCTCCGCCTCGTCGTCCGATTCGGTGCCGGAGTCGCGCTCCTCCACCTGCAACAACAAGCGGACCAGCTCAACTCGAGAGCCGATCACCGCTGCATATTGTCGGTTTAACTTCGCCACACTCTTCGCCCCGAGCTATCGATCTCGATTAAGCTTTCTTTAGAGGTTTGGAATTTATATTTGGCAAATACGGACAGCGTCGAGATCGAATAGCGCGCCGAGATCCGGCGATCGTTCCGCTCCTTTGTTCTCGCGGAGCGGGCGGCCATTTTCTGGTGGCGGTTTGCCGGCATGACCTTCGCGGCTCGCAGCCGGCCGCTCGCCGCCAACACCCACCTTCTCGGAAACGTTCTCCTCATTCAAGGAATGTGTTCGCAGCTTGTGAGTCAGAAATTTGAGCATTATTGAGCCTCGGCTCGCTCCGGTCGACCGCCGCGGCCGCCACAGCGCCGCGCGACTCGACACGCACTCAACTCGCGATACTGCCACGAAAATTACGCGATGCGGACCGTATCACGCCTACGGCGAACGTTCCACAGACATTTTAAGCCTGAATAGCATATCCGCATATCACTCGCGCGATCCGAGGGCCGACCGCTCGCCTCGCACGCCGCACTACTACTAGTCTCGTCGGAGTAGCCTTGCGTACGACGCAGTCAGCTGAAGTGGGCACCACCCATTAATGCCGAAAGGGCTTATGAGCGTTCGCGTCAAATACTACTCTTTCGACTGAAATTTGTCGACGCACAGAACGATCATATCCGCGGACGTCCATTTAAGTTATTCACGGAACTCGAGATAGCCCAAATATAGAGTAAAAGCTTTTCAAGTGGCACTCGAAATAGACTCGACCGGCGATCCATTGATGACAAAGAACCGGAACATGCAAAGATCGGCTGCGATTGGACAAAACATTACAGAATAAGATCGAATTTAATGCAACATCTCGCGTCCCGCTCGCACTCAGGGCGGCGCGCGGCGGGTGCGAGCGGGACGGCTGCGCAGCACGCCTCGGTTACATAACGCCCGCCTGATAGTGTGCCGCTGATAAAAGTTGCGCATGTTGCAAGCTCGTAGCGTGGAGTCGTGTTGTGTTGTGACCGGCGCTGAGCGTCATCAAGTCGTCATCCTCAATCCCAACTCTGGCAAATCTTTCTCTTTTTTGTAATACTCACAATGAAAAGTAGCTACTGACACTATTCTGCAAAACAATTCTTTTTCCAGTCCTATGACTTTTTATGTTTATTAATTTTGTATATGTAGTACCAAAACTCATTCGGGGCTCTTTCTTTCTTCTTCAACTGGCTAATACCAATTTTATATCTGTACTGACTACTTTTATATGTAAGGGAAAAATTATGTCCGACAGTTAAAAAAAGTGAAAAAATTTACAGTTTCAAAAAACCATAAAAAATTTAGACGTACTATAAAATAATTATATTAGAAATAGATTGAAGGCAATTAAATTTAAATTTTCACGAAGAAAATTGTCAATGAAGTATCTGGTGCAGCTCAGTGTGACCAAAACAAAATAATATTTACTTGTTGAGCAAAACATTTTGAAAATGATATAATTTGGTAGAAATCACTCGTTAGATAGTATCAAACATGCAATGTTGTTGTTGCATACAAACCATCAATAGAGTTGTGTGCGCGGCGCGAGTGCCGGACCAGCTCGCCCGCTGCCCACTGCCCACTACTACCATATTGTTAAATACGTTCATAAACGAATGTGCCGCTCATTTTACTTTGTACTGGACAGATTAGCTCAACCGTTTTATATCAAAATGACTATTTTCTTCAATATTGGTGCAAATGTCACGGTTCCTGGTACGTCACTCGTTGGCGAGCTGCTCGGGAGAGGGGAGAGACAGAAAGAGGAGACACGGAAGAGGAAGTACTCGTGGTCTATTCTTTGTCTGTAGTTCACTGTGAAACATTGCCTGACCGACACGGCTCCACTCCCGGAGCTCGCAGGCCGATAACATGAAGTATACATGTGAAGAGACGCGAGGCGGAGATGGGAGGAGACATGGACAGGTTGCAACAAAATCAACATTTAATATAAAACATCAAACAATACATAGAACAGTAAATACAAACAGCAAGAGTCAGAGTTCTGTAGTCGCCGTCTCCTTGTGGTCAGCCCGCACCGCACACCGCACCGCACCGCACCGCACACCGCACCGCACCGCACCGCACCGCACCGCACACCGCACCGCACCGCGCCAGGGTGATGTTAAACATTAATTTCCACTTGCATCGTCAACAAACGTGAAGCGCACAATAAGAATTAGACAAAAACATAGAGAGTGATGAAGAGGGGGAGGGGGAGGGGGAGGGAGAGTGCTATTACTTATATTGTTTTATTCCGAGAGATTGTTGTAAGCACATTAGCAACTATTTTCTTGTAGTTTATTCATCTATTTTTATTTTTTCGATTGTTCAGCAGTTGCGCATCCGTCTCCCTGTGATCTCGCCGCCTCACCGCCTCGCCGCCCTACATTATACAGTCATAGTTAAGTTAACATAAAAACAATATGAATGTGACACCAGGAGGGTGGCATGCGATCACAGTCAGTACACACAATGACACCACTCAATGAGTCTCGTACAAGTTGTACATTATAAAGATAACATATGTATCACTTAACAAATATATATAAATATATAGAAACGATCCTCCATACAAAACTATTTATCTATAAACTGTACAACAACTGGCAGAGTGTACACACACATATACATTACATCATTATATACTATGACTTATATACAACATTTATATATTATATAAACAAGAAGGCACAATCGGTGTCACATAGTTTTACTGTATTATATAACATTTGTAAAGTTTGCTCCTGAACATATCGAGTCAGCTCGATGAACCTCTCCCCGCATCCTCTGAACGATACTGCTCACAGGAAGATGAGCTCCTCGTTGAGGTAGTCGGGGTTGTCGCGCACGTACTGCTGCAGCTCTTCCACCGCGCGCGCGAACTGCTGCAGCAGTGCTGGGGGTGGTGGGGGTGGTGGAGGTGCGGGAGGTGCGGAGGACGCCAGGTCGCGCAGCAGCAGGGGGGCGGCGGCGGGCAGCAGGTAGCGGCGCTGCGGCGTCACCAGCGGCACCACGTTCGCCTCCAGGCCGCAGATCCTGCAACACGCGCTTCCTTCTTATCTCACTTGTCTATTATTATATCTCCCATATTTTTCATTTTTAGCCAAAATTATTAATTTAAGTAAGCTTGTATCGTTTTCAAACTACTTTTCATCTGAATAAAGCGATGTAAACGAGAAGGTGGCGCTCACTCCGCGATGTAGTACTTCCTGTAGGGGTGATGTTGCGCGTGCGCAGACTCGCACATCAGCCGCAGCGCCAGCTGCAGCAGCGGGTCTGCGCAGTGCGGCCGCCGCACAGCTGCGCGCGCGCCCAGCAGCGGCTGCTCCACTGCGCACACCCACACATCCCCACCGCATTATTCATCTACCTCGACACCACCACCACCACCACATCTCCGTCTCGTATCAACACGATACTT